TACCGAGGCGAGTGCTTCGGGGACGAGCCTTGGACTATGCTTCGATCCCACCGAGGCCGGGCTTGAAATGCCATTGAAGCCTTAAAATCGACCTCCCCTAATTTTGACCGTATACAATGTTGTTCTCCGTGGACTGTTTTCACTCCTTCCTCTATTGGGAATTTCATCATCTGGTGAAGAGTTGAAGGAACTGCCCTCATGTTGTGTATCCATGGTCTCCCGAGGAGTGCGTTATACCTCATGTCACCTTCGATAACATGGAACCTGGTATCTTGTACGGTCCCGGCTACGATTACTGGCAAGATAACCTCTCCCTTCGTTGTTTCGCTTGCCATGTTGAAGCCATTTAGCACCCGGGATGCTGGTACAATCTGATCTTGCAGCCCGAGTTGTTCCGCGACCCTCGATCTAGTTATGTTCGCTGAGCTGCCTGGATCCACTAAAACACGTTTAACTTGAATTTTATTTAGAATGATAGAGATTACCAGGGCGTCGTTGTGAGGCTGAGATATGTCTTCTACTTCCTCATCACAAAACGATAGGACATCCTCGGGCACATAGCTCTGAGTCCGTTTCTCTCTTGTGACTGATACTTGGTGCGCTTGAATATAGGTCGTTGAGGGACATCGACTCCGCCAATGATCATGTGGATTGCATGTTGTGGTTCTTCTTGCTCATTTTTCCTTGCGTCTCTCTCCCTGAAGTGATTCTTAGCCTGATCACTTAGAAATTTTTGAAGGTGGCCCTCGTTGAACAACCGAGCAACCTCTTCCCTTAGCTGCCGGCAATCTTCTGTTCTATGGCTATGTGTACCGTGATACTTTCACATCAAGTTTGGGTTTCTTTGAGAAAGATCAGTTTGTATAGGCCTCGGCCACTTGGTGTCTTTGATTTTTCCAATAGCCGACAGAATTCCTGATGCATCCACGCTAAAGTTGTACTCCGATAATCGAGGAGCCTCCGCAGGATCGGTATGCTTATCGACTCCGTTTTTATTTACGAGTCCCTGAGAACTTTGACCCCCATCGTTTCTCCGATCGTTCCGAGGAGCGTTTCGACCTGAACCGTGGTTCCTTCGATCGATATACGGTTGATACCTTTCCCTGTTCGATCTTTATTCCCTATTCGTATCCCTCGGGGGCTTGGCCATAAACCTATTAGGATGAACTGAACCCGAGGGAGCTCCTAATTGGTCGTCCTCAACCCTGATTTTTGACTGGTAGCGGTTGTGCACATCTGACCACGTCACAGCTGGATACTTGATCAAGTTCTGCTTTAGTTGTCGAGAAGCAATCGAGCTTCGCTCGTTCAAACCCTGCATGAAGGCCTGTACTTCCCAGTCGCCGAAGACCGGCAGCAGTTCCATTCTTTCTATCTGAAACCTAGACACGAACTCCCTTAACATCTCGTCATTCCTTTGTTTTATTTTGAAGACATCGGACTTTCTCGTGGTCACCTTTATGGCCCCGGCGTGGGCTTTAACGAAAGCGTCTACTAACATAGCAAATAAATCAATAGAGTTAGGAGCTAAGTTGTGATACCAAATCATAGCTCCTTTTGAGAGTGTTTCCCCAAACTTTTTCAACAACACTGACTAGATTTCATCATCATTCAAGTCATTTACTTTGATCCCACAAGTGTATGAAGTAATATGTTTGTTAGGGTCAGTTGTCCCGTTATATTTGGTATATCGAGCATGCGGAATTTCTTAGGAATGGGCATTGGGGCTGCGCTCTGAGGGAATGGTTTTTGTATGAACTTCTTGGCATCTAGACCTTTCAAAACTGGAGGTGCCCCCGGTATCTGGTCTACACGGGAGTTATAAGTCTCCACCTTCTTATTGTTATCCTCAATTTTCTTTTCTTCGGATTTGATCCTCTTAGTGAGCTCTTCGAGCATTTTCATAATGGTGGGGTCAGTCCCCGAGTCGTTTCTATTTGGCCCTTCCGATGTTGGTTCAGCACGTTGATTGTTTTCATGTTCAGCTACACTCGGGGTCTTATATTGACTTTGAAGTTGAGCGATGGAGATTTGCTGAGCCTGCAACATCTCAAATATCACTTGGAGGCTAACTCCCCCATCTCCTGCTCCTGGCGTTCCTTGATCCCCCGATCGAGCATCCCTGCGTACACTCCCTTCGGGTCTGTGTCTAGGTTGGTGTTTATATCAATATGAGAACCAACATCAACTAGTTCCATGTTTGGCACTTCCCCAGGGTTTACCGATGGCACACTGACTGCCTACATTGTCGCTCTCACCAAGACCTTCGTTGTCATGAACAGGTGCGTTTTGTGTGCTAGACATGCTTAAGCCTGAGAATCAAAAAATCTTGACAAGAAAAAGTGTAAAATAACGTATGTAACGAGAATCAGTAAAGAAATAATCACTATTATCTTTAGCCCCATGGCGGGCTCCAAACTGTTTACCTCGAAAATACGAGTAACAATTAAATTTAATTTGTGGTTTTAAAGATACGTGATTTAGTTCAATACCAACTAATAATTAGGAAGTATGAAGTAGAAGTGAAAGAGAAAAGTGAATCAAACCAATGTTACTCAGCAACAGTGACCTCGAGCTTGGGGACCTCGAGGTAAGCTTGGTATAACAATGATCACGCCCAACTATGCATTATAAAAAAGGACTAAGTGGTCGTTGCAAATATAATCCGGTTTACAAGTCCGGAGTCGAATCCTACAGAGAACTAAGGTTTTGGCTACAACTGTTCACTATCACCAAGAAGACAAGCTTGAACAATTCCTAACTTATAGATATTAAGATTCTTGTGTTTAACTAATTAACTGACAAATTAAAATAGTAAGTTAACAACTAAAGATACTAAGGGTTAGAGACAAGATTAAGAAGGTCTAGAGTTATGATTTCCCCAATTGTCGGAATCCTTCCCGCTACATTTTCTATAAATTCGTCAAAGTATTCTCTACCGATCATGAGCGCTCTGACTGTCGTAACTCTCTCCTGAGTAATTACCATAATTTACTAGACATATTCTCCCGAATTATGCTAGCTGGCATTAAGTACGGCTCACTCGGATCGCACCCAAGGTTTCGTTATCCCTAATCCCACCTTTAAACCCTCTGTACTGATCCCTCATATACGTTAGGAGTGATGTCGTTCAACAACTACCTAAATATGCACTCTCTCCCGAGTAATACACACTAAATAGGCACAGTCGATTGAGAGCTCTTCAACCAACCACAATAATAATGTAGTTGAACAAATAGAGAAAATACTGCAGCAAATCTATATTAACATAACAGGAAAATCATCCTCCAAAAGGTTCCATCAAAACCCTAAATAACAAATTAGCTATTCATAATAGTATGCATAACTACAATACTAGAATTCATAACCAATAATGGAAAATAGGAAGAAGGAAGTGAAAAACTCGAAGAAGAATTCTCCACCTTGCTCCTAGTGTGTTCTTGCCTCCTTAGGTCGAATCCTGGCCTCCACGACTGCTCCGTGCTCTCCTTAGGTCTAAAGTCTGTCTCAAAATCGATCTCCGTCAAAACTGGCATTTTTAGGTCTATTTATATGTGTAGGAAAAGCGCTAAACGTGTAGGTCAACTCCTAGTCAAGCCAGGAAACAATTAAAACCTTCAAAACTCGGACTGGACCTGGCCTTAGGCCTGGCGTCGCCTGGCTAACGCCAGCCTCGGCCTGGCTTTAAGCTGGCATCTCCAGGCTAACGCCTGCCTAGGCCTGGCTTTAAGTTTGGCGTCGCCAGGCTAACGCCTGGTTGGGCCTGGCTTTAAGCTGGCCTCGCCAGGCTAAAGCCTGGTCAAGCTGGCTTTTGCCCGGCTTCTCCTTTCCACCGTTCTCGAGCGCACTTTCGACATTTAAGCATCCCTTTAGCTCTACTTTCATTTCCGATGCACCTACACATAAAATAGACTCCATTACGCTCAAACAAAGTGTAATTTAACATTAAGCATGTAAAACGCAAGGCATATAATGTGCTAAACCATGAATTCTAGCCACCCATCAAACAAGAACAATAATAAAAGCAAAGTAAGAACAATACAGCTAAAGGACAATGGTGATGAAAAACAGGCGAAAAAGGTAGAGTATATTCTTTTCTCAGTTACCAGATGGGCTTACAAATGATTGGGGTTCCCCTTTTATAATAGGGGAACCCTAAATAAGGAATATTTCTATTTATAGTAGGGAATATTCTTGTTACAGCTGTCTAACTGCCTAGTACGGAATCGTACGATCTTATTCCGGGATTGGCGCCATGATCTTAGGGACGTGGAAGGAATCTAGCTCATTCTGTTACAAATCCACAACGGTACTATTTCGAGGTTGAGCACATTTGGCCTCGGTATTCCTCGAACTCCCGTCTCCGGGCATTACACTATGTCTTCGAGCTCGAGTCTGGTCCACCGGTTTCGAACTTGACCTCTCCCGGACTTGGGTCTAGGGCAGAACCTCGAGCTTATAAATCGGGGGCATATGACTTTGATCGTATACACTTAAATACACATATCACGTAGTCGAACACCAATTCCATCTATTCAACTCTTTGTCACCATCCAAAAGTAGTCTTACTTCTATGGAATACCTTTTTAAAACTTTACAGATTATCATACAATAAAGGAATATAGTAACACTTAAAGAGAAGCATTTATGAGATCATAGAAATAAAGGTGAATACATTACTAAATAGCTCATGTTTCCCTTATCTAAAAACATACATCAATGAGTCCCCTTAACTAAATATTAACATAGGGCAGAGAAGTACCAGCTTCAAACATTTAACTTTTAATCATCAATAATAGTTACTTTACTTTACTTTACTACTGTATATGTGTGAAAGGGTGTACGAACACAGCTATATTCAGCTGTACAAGAAGTTTTGTTAATTGTACTATAGACTTGGACCCATTTCATTGGTTATTGAATTTTTGTCTTTCTTCTCTCAACACGTGTACTGGTATGTCTTGAGGAAACGATGGTTATCACCTTATTATGCAAAACAACACTATTTGGGTCTCACTTCTCAGTTTCCTCTCTCTTTCCTTCTATCCTTCTCTCTTTCCCTTCTCCTATCTGTAGCTACATACAGGGAGCACCAATTTGTCGAGAAAATTACAAATCAAAAACGGGCCAATTTGAATTTTAAACCCTTGGTTATTCTCTAAGTTATGTATTTTATTCAATGTTCTAAAGATGCCAATACAAAATTGTGAGGAAGCATCACTACTCAAAAGTGGGAAAGGATGTCCTACATCATTCAGAAGTGTCCTCCCTTGAAAAAGGAGAGTGTTTATTGTATATTTACTTTGGAGGTACTGAATCACTGGTTATAACTTTATGCACAATATTGATTTCGCTTTTTCCCTCTTTCTCTTTTTTTTCCTCGCTATTTTAAATCAAAGTGAATATACAAATGTTAGATGATCTAATGATGGATTTCTACTCTTTTTTGCAGGATGTCTCTCATAGTTGGCTTGGCTTGATTCCGTCGGCATTCCATAGTTTGCGGTGATATTACTTTCCTTTTGTGCCTATTTAAGGTCTCTATTCTTCCTCTTTTACTATGCATGTAATTTTTTTTCAAAGTCATGAATATATGGTGCTATTGTTGTTGGTTTATTATTTTCTAATAAGTTTTCTATTGCGGTATATAATTAATTTCCCGGATCAAATAAAGGTGAATAACTTTTTTTTTTGGTTAGACGAAGTTGGGGATGGAAAGAAAACTTGGTGTTATTACCTGAATATATCCTGGAATTATCTAATTAGTTCGTCACTTGACCGCTCCTTTTTTTGTGTTATATTGGAAATGTTTCCTTAATGATTTGAATTAAAATAAAAGGAAAAAGATGCTTGTACACACATTACATTTGCTAACTCATGAATTGATTAGTAGCTGATTCGATGAAGCTTCCTTTACATTCTGTATTCATTCAATTTCACTATTATATCACTAATTTCTTATTATTCAGATGTAATCTAAGCGTTATTGCTAGTCAATGTTGCGGATGATGTTATTTGTTACTATAAAGGTAGCATCTTTCAAGTTAATTTAGAGTCTTATGCCTTTATAGTTGAATATATTCCACAATAGATTTGTTTAACTGGTTTCTATTTTCTGAACAATTATTCCTTAATATGTTTCCTCAAGTTGCTATATTTTCTCTCCAATGTCTTTGCATTAGCGTTTAAGTAACAAAAATCACCTAATGCTTTTTTAGACCATTGATGTTAGTGAAGGAACATATGCATGTGATGCATTCTTTTTCCATTGAAAGGAGGAAACTAAAATATTCTCAATTTGTGGTCAAGGTATATAGACATGGTAAAACATGTCTTGGTATGAGTTATATTTTGGGAATAGATTTAACAAAAGATCTCGAGGACAGAAACATATGGGGGAGGGAAAAAGCGAGCGCTAATAAAGAAAAAAGAAACCAAGGTTGATCGCATATAGTCCTATAGCTTTGATCTGTGCCTTACGTTTTCATCCATATTTATTGATTTCTTTCTGAATTATCTGCAATGAGCAAAACTTTTGTAATATATTTCTGTCCTATCCGACGAAAATAAGTCTTGATTTAAGTCATTGAATAAAGAGAGTGCTAATTACATTCTTCGCTAAATCTCAGTGTGATCATTAGTTAGGTTATTTAAGCGAGTTTTTTTTTTTGAGCAAACAGGAAATATATATATTAAAAGCTAAGGAACATCCAGTACATAGTTAACATAGCTTGCATCACGGAGGATGCATTTGTTTCCTAAGCTTGCTAGCATATTAGAAGCTTCATTACATAGGAGTTTTTCATGACAAGTTGATTCAAGTTTGTCACTTTCAACAAAATATAGTACATCAAAAGGTGGTACGACAAAAACTTTTTTTTTGCGGGCTTCACTGCTTTGCTGCTTCCTGCCAATCCCTGAGGCTTGTTTTCCCTTCCTAGAACTTCTTTGGCTAGTTGGTGAGCAATCCCATTCCCCTGCCTGAAAGTGTGTTGGAGAGTAACCCTCTGCTGGTGCATTAAGGACCTGTAATCATTAACAGTTTTGTTAAGTAATTTATTACCATGTTGTATTGCCTGGATAGCCTCTGAGCAGTCTGTCTCAATCTCAAGTGGGAAGAGATTCCATTCCTTTGCTGTTCGTAGCCCTTCTCGTAGTGCTTTTAATTATGCTGCAAGGGAGCCATTTTCATGTGCTAGTTTTGCAAAACCAACCACCCAGTAGCCGGTTGCATTTCTAAAAACACCCGCTAGACCACAATTTTTGCCATTACTATGAAAACTTGCATCCACATTCAATTTGTACCATCCCCTAGAGGGTTTGAACCAGTTAATTTTTATAAGGGATTTGGGAGGGTGGATAAGGGATTTTTCCGTGAAAAGTTTAAATTCCAATGCCTTTAGCATGATTTTGGAACCCCTTAAAAAATTGTTCGTGTTGTTGATGTTATTACTGTTTCTATTAATCCAGATATGCCAGATAAGGAAAGGAAAGAAGTTTTCCCAGTTAATGAGGTTGTGTTTTAGAGGAATATTGAGATCTCTTACTTGGAGAAGCCAGTGCTTCCCATTTTTTACGATTTGCTGGGTTGCTTGCAGTTCTCTCCAGAGATTACTGACAACTCTGCAATCTAGGAAGATATGTTCAATTGACTCTTCAATAGGGTTTTTGCAGATGGGACAATTTGAATCAATGTTTAGTCCGATCTGCGAAAGGTACTTCCAACTTTGCAATCTAGGAAGATATGTTCAATTGACTCTTCAATAGGGTTTTTGCTGATGGGACAATTTGAATCAATGTTTAGTCCGATCTGCGAAAGGTACTTCCTGCAAGGGATTCGATTGTGAAGACATTGCCATCGGAAGAATTTAATTTTATTAGGGCACTCCAGGTGCCAGATCCATTCAAAGTCATGGTTAGATCCCTTAGGGGATTCAAGCAGAGTATAACAAGAGGCGGTGGTAAAGACTCCTTTGGTGGTGAGGGGCCAAGTAGGAGTGTCAGTGAGAATGCCTTTTTGGCGGATTTTTATTTTGGAGATGGTAGCTAACATATCCGGAGAGGGAGAGAAGGTTAAAGAGTTTAGGTTCCACATAGTTCCATCAAAGATATCTCTAATTTTATAGAGAGATCCTTGGCTGAAGGGGGGCCTGTAAATAGGTTCCTTAGGCGACCAATATTTGGTATCCAATTGTCCCCCCATAAGTTAAGGTTGGAGTGGATATGAGTGGACCATGTGATGCCTTTGGAACAGATTTTCCACCCTCTGCGAATGCTTTTCCAGAGGAAGGATGTTCTATTTGCAGAGGGGCTATTGCAATAGTAAGAGATGATTAGCTTTGCCCAAGGAATTAAGGTATTAGTAAGGAGTCTCCAGCTTAAGCTGGCCAGGGTACAAAGGTTTTTATTGAGAGAATTATGGATCCCCAGTCAGCCATATTTTTTGGGTTGGCATATAGTGGACCAGTTTACTAAGTGAAGTTTCCTTTTTTCAATTGTACTACCCCAAATGAAATCCCTTTGGACTTTATCAATCTTTTTAAGGGTTTTAGTAGGGAGCAGGGTGTATTGCATATAATGGTTTGGGATGTTGTTAAGGCATGATGATGCAAGGGTTGTTCTTCCTGCCAAGCTAAAAAACCTCATCTTCCAGGATGCAAGTTTGGTTCTCATTTTGTCTATGAGGAATTGGTAATCTCTAGGTTTTGGGATGTGATGAAGGATGGGGAAACCTAGATATGTGCCAAAGTTGTTACTCTTTTTAATACCAAGAGAAGTGGTAATGTTGGTAATGATTGATTGATTACAATTTTTTGAAAAAAGGATTTTTGATTTAGTCAGATTGATGTTTTGACCAGATAGAGAGCAAAATATGTCAAGCCCATTTTTTATGGCCTGACAGGATTTAGTATTTGCTCTAGCCATGAGAGAAAGGTCGTCAGCAAATAATAGATGGGATATCTTTGGGCATTTATATCCTAGGGAAATGGGGTCCCAGTTTTTGATATCTACTTGGTATTCTATATATCTGGTGAGCATTTCTAGACAGAGGATAAAGATATAGGGGAGATGGGGTCGCCTTGTCTCATACCTCTAATTGATTGGAAATAGTTTGTAGTAGCCCCATTGACCAAAATAGCTATTTTGCTGGTAGAGATGCAATTTAGCAGGAGTTTAGAGAATTTGGGAGGGAATTTGAAGAAGTCCAATGTGTGACGAATGAAAGACCATTCAAGGCGGTCGAAAGCCTTTTCCAAGTCAATTTTCAGGATCATATGGCCTTGCTTGCCTTTCAGCTTATTGAATTTAGAAATCATTTCCTGGATGATGATAGCATTGTCTGAGGCTCTTCTGTTTTTCATAAAGCTTGCCTGGTAAGGACTGATTAGTTGATCCAGGAAAGGTTTGATACGATTGGCTAGAATCTTGGTAATTATTTTATAGATAGTATTACACAAGCCAATAGGTCTGATGTTTTTGATATTATTAGCATTATGGAATTTAGGAATGAGGCATAGAAGAGTCTTGTTAATATTTGGAGGGATTATCTGGTTATTGAAGATGTTGTGGCAGAGATTTTTGACAGAATCCCCTATATGGAACCAATATTTTTGGAAGAAGAAGGGGTGCAGACCATCTGGATCGGGAGATTTGAATGGTTTGAAAGAGAAGACTGCACTTTTTATTTAATTATCCAGTAGGGGAGCATCTAGTTGTTCTAGGTTGATAATTTTGCAGCTGGATTGAGTATTAAGGGGGTTAGCCCAGGAGGAGTAAGTATGGGAAGAGATAAAAGTAGAGATAAAATAGTTTTGGACATGGGTCAGAATAAGACTATGGTCATTTATCCAGTTACCAGCATCGTCTTTAAAGAAAGTAATTTTGTTTCTTCTTTTTCTATTAGTGGCAGAAATGTGGAAAAATCTAGTATTAGTGTCACCATCATTAAGCCACATTATCCTGGATCTAAGTTTCCAGTAGTCTTCTTCTATTTTCAGGATATCATTAAACTCATGACACAGAGTTAATTCCAAATTCTTTAGGAAAGAGCTGGTAGCATAGTTGTTAGAATTTTGAATACATTGATGTCTAGCTAAGAGTTTTATCTTCCTACTCATGATATTACCAAAAGTCCTGTCTTTCCAAGGTTTTATGTTTTCAATAAAATTTGAGTTAGCCTTAAAATAGTCATTGTTATTCCAGGACTTTATAACAATAGCTTGAAAATCCCGATGTCTACACCAGAAGGTTTCCTACCTAAAGGGGACCTTATGAGGAGTTCTATTTCTAGGAATTAATTCCACCAGGATAGGATTATGATCAGAGTGAGTTCTGGGGAGATGGATAATAGAGCTTTTAGGAAAGAGTTCTAACCATTCTTCATTCCCAAAAACTTTATCAAGCCTTTCTAAAATAAGGCTCTTATTCTTATGTCTATTATTGGTCCAGGTGTATTTACTTCCCTTGAAGCCTAGGTCAACTAGGTTACAGTTATTAATTATGGACCAAATATATTTAGCTCTACTATCTTTGATTGGTTTACCTCTAAATTTCTCGCTAACAGTAAGAATATCATTAAAATCACCACCTACTAGCCAAGGTCCTTTATAAGAATTACTAATATTTTCTAGGTTATCCCACATAATATTTCTAGAAGAAATATTGGTACTAGCATAAATTGAAGTAAAGAGCCAAGGTTTACGTAAAGGATGTACCTCTATGGTTGCATGGATCTCCTGACCTCTTCTAACAACATTTTGGACATTGATTATATCATCCCTTCACATCATGACCATACCACCTGATTGTCCCTGCGAAGGAACTTCTATCATCTCAGAGAAACCAACATTGAGCAAGGCAACATGGTTTATCATCCTTATTTCCAGCAAAGTAACCAAGCATGGCCTATGAGTGTCAAGAATCTCCCTAAAGTTCCTCCTAAAGTTGTCATTGTCCCCCCCCCCCCCCCTCCCGTATATTCCAAATAATGAAAGTAGTAGCCTGATTCATAGCTAAGTCAGTGTTGTTCATTTCCCCATTTTCCCTTATTCCCCCTGCTTGGACAGGGTTCCTCCTCATCGATGGAACTAATATCATAGCCTTGTTCCCCACAGTAGGGTCGTGTGGAGGGCGTATATCCATCGAGCACTTGTATAGGGCTAGTGGGCAACTAAGAACATACCTTTTTTCGTGCCTTTCCGTGAATAGAAATATGTTTATTCCATTTAGGCTTGAGAGCTCTATCTAAGTGAGGATTTAGGGGGACATCGTCCTCCTCCATCTCTGCCTCCACTGGCCCTGGTATGGGGTATTCTTGCTGTGGTGGTGGGGGGACTGGAGGTGGTTGGGGGAGAGGTACATTCCCTTGGTTCCCTAGGTTGACATCCCAAGGGAGAAAGATGGGGTTTAGGTGGGTGTACATCTCCGTTGGAAAGAAAGGGAGATCCAGTGGAGCATTTAGAGGATGCATGGAGTTGAATTGAGGGGGCATATTCCATTGCTCCCTCATTGTTTGGGCCATTCGAGTGTTCAACGATGGTGCCATGGGGTGAATGACATTGTTGAGCCATACTTGGTTTAGATAGTTGTTCATCGCCAATCTCATTCCCTCCGTGATGAGTTGAGCTAGGTATTGAGTGTTGTGCAAGATTACTATGGCTTCTTGGCCATTGATGGGTACTGTGAACGAGAGTGCATGGCCCATGAGCCCTAGTTCCATCCAACTCGTGGGTTGGTAATCTTGAGCTTGGGGGGGTTGAGCATAAATAATTTGGGGCTGATCTTCGGGATGGAGGGGGGGAATGTTTTCCATTTGGAGAGGGTGGCGTTGTCTCAAGACTTGAACTAGTCGAGTTCTTCTCCTTAGTGATGATGGAACTCTTGGCATTTTGGTTGAGACTAGGTGAATTTAATGCACTGGAAGTTGGCGTGGGATATTGGGTAGGAGGAGAGGTTAGCCGATTGGGTGGGGAGGTGATGATTGCTTCGTTTTTATCTATGTCCTTTGGTTGCTCTAGGTTACTTTTAAAGGAGCACTTAAATGCTTGGATTGGATCATCCATGGGAATGTCCATTTGGAAAGTTTCTTCTATGGCCTTTGCCATTTGGCCAACATGCATGGATGGGGAGTTTATGGAAGATTCTATGGATATGGGGAGATTTTGGAAAGATTTTGGGTTAAGGAGGGGGTTTGAGGCAGTAGGGGAATGATTAGCGATAGGGGTAGAGTTGTCCATACAAGTGTCATTTTGCATGGCATTGGATTTCACTAAGGGTTTAACAATATGGGGTGCCACGTTGGGATCTTGCATGCAAGTGTCTTGTGTGTCAAGATCCAATTCACTGTTTAATTGATTAAATCTATTATTGTTAATAAAATTTTCCTTAACCAAAGTGGTTTGAGCCAAAACCTTTTGCCTCTCTTCTAAGAGGTGGTTTTCCATATTAAAGGTAGATTGATTAGAAGAAGGTTTAGGATGAGTAGTGACAGGAAGATGTTGATTATTAAGGAGATTATTTTTTGTTTTACAATGGAGAGTTTGGGTAAAAAAGAACTTACCTGTCTTAGCATTAAATAGTTTTACCGGAATACCTGGACCTTGGCTTCCATTAGCTTGGATTGTAGGCACTTGGGTAGGAGTTTTTTTGCCTTGATTTTTCTTCTTGTTAAAGGGGACAGTTTTCCATTCCGAGTCACATGCTTCATGTGGAGCTTCTTGGTGTTGTTCCTGTCCTGCATGGTGAGGATCCAAGTTTTGCATCTTGATATAGTTGCATTGTCTTTGAGTGTGACCAAAGCGCCCATAATTTTTGCAAAGAAAATCCTCCCCTTCATAGAGTATATCTTGCTTGTGGTCTCCAACGTATAGGAAAGACTGAACTGGAATTTCCAAAGGAATTTAACACAAATTCTTGCATAACGACCTCTTAGGGTAGTTGAGGTGCATGTATCAATTTTTAGCAGTCGTCCTATTGCATTGCCAATTTTTTCTAGGATTTTCCCATCGTAGAACTCAGTTGGTAGTTGAGGCAGTCTTACCCAAACAGCTGAGGAAGTTAGTTTTGCATTTTTAGCCACAAAGTTGGGTTTCCATTCGGAGATAGATAGGAAATGACCATTGATGAACCATGGTCCTAGGTGAATAGCTTTATCCATATTTTCTTTCTTTGTAAACTTGATTATGTAGTAGTCTTCACCAAGATCAATTAAAGAGAATTCTTCCATTGGTTTCCATAGATCTTGAATCTTCCTCTTTAGGTAGTGGTGTGGCATACGTTTCCCTACTAACTTGATTATAATAGAGAATTTCCATGGCTCATAGATACGGTGTCTCTCTTCCAATGAAAGGGAGATTTGTATAGCTTCTCCTAGATTGTTTCCTTGATCACTTCCTATTTCGATGTCTTCCACTGTTTTTGATGGTTCAAGCATCTCATCATAATCGATGGAAGGGGTGAAGATTGTTAGGTTAGTCTTCAATAGTTGATCTTTAAAGGAAATTGGTCTTTCCGGATTGTTTGGTATTAGGGGGGTTGGGTTAAATAAGGAGGGTTGGGAGGGATTGACATTTGCTTCTCAAGAGGTTGAGAATGCATCCTAGAGGACAAAAACTTCAACTTACTAAGTGCTGAAGTTTTTAGAAATGAACTAAGTAACTTCAGCACAATGGGCTGAAGTTATTTGAAAAAGTTGTACGACAAAATTAATTAATCCAGGACAAACACTTCAGCTTATTAGGTGCTGAAGTTTCAGAAATGAACTTAAAAACTTCAGCACATCCCATGCTGAAGTTTTTGTTCAATATTAAATTTTAATTTATTTTTTATTTTTACGTAGTGTAGGAGGAAAGCTTCAGCTCGTTCTGCTGAAGTTTTTAAAGATGAACTAAAAAACTTCAGCATCCCATGCTGAAGGTTTTGTTCAATATTAAATTGTAATTTATGTTTTTAATTTTACCCAGTGTAGGAAGAAAACTTCAGCTCGTTCAGCTGAATTAGTTTATGTTTTATTTTTGCACAGTGCAACTATGTTTCAGCTCGTTTTCCTAAAGTTTTTACATATGAACTAAACAACTTCAGCTTGATTAAACTACAAGACAAATACTTCAGCATATGTAAAAACTCAGCTTGTTTAGCAAATAAACCAAAAATTTCCGCATATTATGCAGTGGAAAACTTCAGCATATTTGAATTTGTCGGATTAGAATGTTAGAATTCAACGTGAATCAGATTTAGAATGCAAATTCAGCATATCAGTGAAGATGAATCATGAAATCAATCAGAAAACATATATAATCAAATCAATCAGTTTCAAAAACTATTTTGAATTCTGAAGATGTATTTGAATACTCACAATGTATTTTGTAATTTTGAATTTGAAATTTGAATCTGGTTCAAATTTGGTTTGCGAGAGGCGATCTGAGGAGAGATGGAGTGATGGAGGAGAACCGTAAATTGATTTATGCGTGATGCATCTTTTATATGTTTTGGAAGGGGTATAATGGTCATATTATTACGGATTTTTTGTTAGTTGGCTACGAAATAAATAGTTTTTAAAAATAGGGTACAAGTTAAGAGGTGGCATAAATATAGGGTACGACTGCAAATCCCCCGGAGGTATCTTAAGCTAATTTTAATCATGTTATTAGTGGACCTTTTCCAGAATAAACCGTACAAAGAAAGCAGACCAATACATATAGTGAACAGCATGCGAATTTGTGAATTGGGTTCCGACATGAGCCTTATTCAAGACGGGCCTTGTTAGGTTGGCCATGACAATTTCAAACAAACTCTTAATGGGCATGCTTGGTGTTTGGCCCTATGTAGTTCAAATTATACAGACGAATGTAAGTACCTACAAATTTCAAAGTTAGACATATAATGACACAAATTTAATCATAATAACAAATGAGAAATTTGAACTTAATACATTACAATGACTATTCCTAACAAATACAACCTCGAATGCTAGGAATTTTGAGAATCCATGCGTTTTGGTTTCCAGATTCATCTGTCACTGCTTGCAGAGATGCATGGTTATCATTCTACTTACTTTAACTTGTCTGGACTTTTCAGTTAATGAATTTGACCAACTGGTAATGAAATTCATGGACTAAATACTTATAAACATCAGCAAATGCCTCATAGGCCATGAGTAGGTCATTGTTCAACTGAATAACACTACCAGAAATTCCAGATCAGGTGATACTAGTTTCAGTTCTAGTGTAAGAGATTCCACACAATCATTTATCAATTTGAATAAGTAGAATTTTAATTCTCCTCTCACTTTTTCACTACCGACAAGAATAATATCTTAAGTATAACCTAATTTTGTATTAGAAAGAGTTTATGTTATTCCAAGCATGTATTCTGTACTTTAATCGGTTTATCTTTGAACTTCACTATCCATTTTAAAAATATTTACATGACATTTTCCACTTGGTAATCAAGGTTTATCATAAAACACGACATTTTCCACATGGTAATTAAGGTTTATCATAAAATACGATATCGCAATTTTGTGGGTTAACCAAGAAAATGAGGGATTTTTAGCCCTGATTGTTACTCTTTTTCTTTAAAAACTACAGCTTAATTTGTTCCTAATACCAAACGTTATTTTTCCGCTTTCATTCTTTTCACCTTGCTATTAGCAAGTCTAAAGACAAAAGGAGTTCAAATTTTAAATAAAAAGAATTTATTTCAAAGTACTGATGGTGTACAAGAATTTACTCTATCAAGCTATCGAAAAAATAACTACAAATAATTATTGCTAATAAATAGAATTAGTAATGTGAAAATTAGACACGTAAATATTAGACAAGTTAAATTACACTGTTATACAAATATTTTTTAGACTATTATGTGAAGTTAAATTCATTTCAAAAATCTATTCACATCATAAAAACAAAGAATCGCATGTAAAGTAAAAATCCATTAAAAATAATACAGGATGCAACTTACGTTGATAACCATAAGGTAAGAAATGGTAACATTGTAGATCAATTTGGCGAAGTGGTACTCAGCGCCAAGATAAGCGAATCAGATGTCTACTTCTTCACCTCTCCGCCGTCTCCTCGCCGGAAACAACAATGCACCCACCAAAATTATAGATATCACAACAACAAAAGCCACCTTTACTTCTACAAGACCCAACTGTCGCACACCCCAAGCAATTGTAGATTATTTTAAAAGATCATCGGAATGCCCCAAATTTCGACGCCAACGCTTGCCTTTATGAAATTACCGTTCGCCAACTTGCTGATGCCAACCATTTCTCCGGCATTTAAGATATTATCGAGCATCAAAAACACTATCCAGATATTCGTAATGAGTACTGTGTCGCCCGTCTTATAGCCTGTTTGGCCAAGCTTTTTTTTTGGCCAAAAGTGCATTTTCTTTTCGCCAAAAGCACTTTTGGCCAAAAATTGAGGTGTTTGGCCAAGCTTTTGGAAGGAAAAAAAGTGCTTTTGAGGAGAAGCAGAAGCAGTTTTGAAGAAGCAGAAAAAAGTAGCTTCTCTCCAAAAGCACTTTTTTGAGAAGCACTTTTGAGAAAAATACACTTAGAAGCAGTTTTTTAAAGCTTGGTCAAACACTAATTGCTGCTCAGAAGTGCTTTTCAAACTAATTAGCCAAACACAAACTGCTTCTCACCAAAAGTACTTTTGAGAAAAGCATTTTTGAAACAAAGCAGTTCTCAAAATAAGCTGATTTTTGCAGCTTGGCCAAACGGGCTATTATTCTTCTTTATGGCAAAGCCAAAATGTATGATAATGCCCGTAAGCTGCTCGACAAAATGCCTCAATTAAAATGTCCGCGCACTGTCTTTTCCTTCAATTCCCTTTTGGAGGCATGTCTTAAGTCAGAGAGATATGATAAATTGGCGGGTTATTTCGCGAATTGCCCTAGAAATTGTCAATTGAGCCTGATCTAGTGTCGTATAACACTTCCATTAAGGCATTATGTAAGGCTGGTTCATTGGATTCTGCTGTGTATTTTATGGATGAGATGGAAAAGGATGAGATCAAGCCGAATATTGTGACTTGTAATATGTTATTAAACGCATTTCATAAAAGTAAAAGTTTTTCTGAAGCGGCTGCTGCTGGTGTTGTTTCCGCACCTGCAGAGTGGGGATTGCAGGTGCGAGGTCGCAGGTGCACTTGGGGAGCTGCAGATGCAGACATAGAGGAGTTTGGTCTTTTCCGCAGAAGCGGAAGGTGAGGTCGCATGTGCGATGGTTTGGCCGCAGATGCGGAACCTGGTGTATTAAGTGAGTTCCGCGCGTGCGATGGAAATTCCGCAGGTGCGGTGTCGCAGAAGAGGAAATAGGACCGCAGGTGCGGTTTTGCTGGGCAGAAAACCCCAGCTCGAGGTTTTGTTCTCCATTTTCGATTTTGGGTTTGAGGAACTCGGGAGAGAGGCGATTTTTCGAAGGATTTTAAGGAGCAACGTTGGGGTAAGTGATTCTAACCTATAATGGCATAAATTTCATGAATCATGGCTTTGTTCATCATCTAATTGGGAAATTGAGCTAGAAATTTGGAAATTTAGGGCTTGGAAATTGGAGAGTGGAATTTTGAGGATTTATGTGACCAAATGAGGTCGGATTTTGATAAAATTGGTATGATTAGACTCGTGAGCGAATGAGCTTTCTAGTTTAGTGACTTTTGTCGGATTTCGAGACGTGGTCCTGGGGGTCGGATTTGAGTGAATTTCGGGATTTGGACTATAATTTGGTATTTTTCTTGTGGAATTGGTTCCTTTAGCCTATATTGATCGTATTGTATTGCTTGTGGCTAGATTCAGGACGTTCGGAGGCCAAGTCGAGAGGAAAGGGCATTGCGAAGTAGGAGTTTACTTTGTTTGAGGTAAGTAACGCTTCCAAACTTGGTTCCGAGGGTTCGAAACCCCGAACTATGTGTTATGTGATTAGTACTGAGGTGACGCACATGTCAAGTGACGCACATGCGGACGTGCACCGTGAGAATTGTGGCTGGGTGATTCCATGGAACCGTTTAGTGACTCTATCTTGTTGATATCCATGTTTTCTTCATGTGATAACGTAGTTGAGCTGTAAATCATGCTAGATATCATGTTTAGGCTTTGTGCCGGTATTGTTTGGACCCTTAGCGGTCATTTCTTGCTGTCATCTCACTAGTTTCGCTTTATATCCCATGCTTAGTCATGATCATGCATTTTTTTTATATATCATATCTGAGTCTCAGTTAATTATTGATTCATCATATCACTGTTTTCATGACATTGTGAGCCCGTGGTGAGACTGGAGAGGTTAATGACTGAGTGAGGCCGAGAGCCTGATTATGAGTGACAGTTATGGGATCGGGCTGCACGTCACAGCGGTTATATTGATGATTATGATAGCGCTTGGGCTGTAGGAGCCCCTCTGGAGTTTGTAACACATCCCCAGTCAATGCAGTTGATATTATTGAAGGATGGAACTTCCCTGGACATGGAACTTGTCCGAAGTATTGATACCTGGAGATGGATCTTCTCCACAAGGCTGGAATGGCCTTCCTCGGTACTGAGTGACAGTTGTCAGTGATATGTATATATTCCGGGATAGATCTTCCCTGGACCGGATGGCCATATACAGTACCGAGTGGTTGAGCACTTGAGAGTGGAGGTACATGGTGCATTTTCATACATTCTGTGCATTAGCACGTAGAGATTAGCTGAGCTTTATACCTCACATTGTCCAGATCTGTATTTACTTTACTGCTTGAGCTGAATACTTGAATTGAAAGAATGGCTACTTTTCTACACAACTTACTTCTGTTTACCTGTTGAGGTTAAGTTCGTCAATACCTATCAGTCCATAGTTTGGACTTGTTACTTACTGAGTTGGTGTACTCACGTTACCCCCTGCACCTTGTGTGCAGATCCAGGTATCTCTGGCCACGGTAGTGGCTGCTGATTTTTTTTTGTTGCTGATCACCGGAGATAGCAAGGTAGTTGCCTGGCGACCGCAGTCCTGCTTTCTTCTTCTCTATCTTCCTCGTAGTTGTATTTTGGATTTTTTCCAGACTATGTTAGTCTTGTTATTATCAGAACAGTTTGTAGTAGTGGCATATGACTCAGTGACACCCCGATGTTTGGGGCTTTACTTCTGCATTTCTATTTCTGAGTTCAACTCTTGTTTTCTTTAATGAAATTCTACCAAACATGATGTCTTTTGGCATAGTTTTTAATGAATTATGGTATTGTGGAAGTCGCCTGGCCTAGTACTATTGATAGGCGCCATCACGGCAGGTTTGAGTTTAGGGTCGTGACATCTATTTATAATAGTTTAACGCAGAGGGTTGTCGATGGCTTGGTTGAGCATTCTAAGATTGAAAATGCAAAAGAGCTGGCTACGTTGGCCAAGTCTTGTAAGAGCTTCCAGTATGAGCTTTCCTTGCCTTTGCATAACTAGTTGTTTCAACTATGTTTTAAATAGCTTGGATATTCTATTGGTTCCAGTTTGTCAAAGGAAACTATACTAACAACACGGAAAGAAGCATGTTTGCTATCTTCTGCTTGTTACTGATGATGCTCTTTCAGTCAGGTGCGAAGCTGTCTACGTATCCAAGAACTTGTGACTTCATCCACTTTCAAAGGGCCTCAAAATAGCCATCCTAACCCATCCCTTTATCCTTTTCAATATTTTTTCCAAAGAAGTTTTCTACAATCAAAATTAGAACCTAAAATTTTATAAAATTTTTATACGATGATGTGCAAGTATGTAAATTATAAAGGTATAAATTTTTACAAGACAATATATCAATATTACGTAAAATTTCATAATATTCAAGAAAGTCGACTTTATTTGCAAATAGAAGAGGTTAGTTGCTGATAAAACTTTAAAATTGTCAGTTATTCCAAGAAATTATTAATCAATAATCAAAATAAATGAAAAGATACTTCACAAAAAGAAGCCCTAACCCAAACAATGGACAGATGCAAACCAAAATATACTTACACAACACTCACATACATGTAGAATATAGTTAACATGAAAAAAAATAAACTGAAGGGCAATAAACCAACACGAACTGAATTCTCCTATAAATTTTGTTATGTTCAGACTTGACTCTTTGACTCTTTGACTCTTTTTAATTTTTATAGTTGAAATTTAAATTAAATTAAATTATTATATTATAATATAATGAAGAATTAACCCTATTATATAATTGCAATATTTTTGTTGTTATCAAGGTAATTTTTTGCCATTTAGAAGGGGAGTTGTGACTAGTGAAAAAGTAAGGGATAAGACCGGATCATTTATTCTGGACCGGGCTTCATATGTTAAAATAGCACGGATAGCCAGTTTTCGGACTGGTCATTCAAAAATAGCCAATATTTACCAAATTATTGAAAAATAGCCACTATTTTACTGCAATAAAGACCGATTCAGCATAATATACTGGAGTTCAGTGCACCTGTGCATGAACTTCCAACATATTATACTGGACCGGTATACTTTGCTGGCTCTTGTATAATATACTGGAGTTCCAATATATTATGCTGGACTGTTTTTTAGATTATCTTTACATGAAAAATAACTAAATTTCGATGAATTTTGGAATTGTGACTATTTTTAAATGCTATTTTTGAATTTCTCCCGCTACATATAGAGCAAGCCCAGTTTCCTAAATGGTTAAAACCTCAACCACGAAATTCTAATCTAACGACATTTCACATGTCTTCTTCTTCCCTTTATCGCCGGCTTTACGGCATCTTTACCGAGAATCAAAAAGTAACCATCAAGCTTAAAACTGACAAGCCCAAAACAACCTCCTTAAAATCCACCAAGCTCACACCTAAACTTACCGAAAAACAAGAACTCCAAACTATAGTTAACAACTTCAAAAAATCGTCGGAATCCCCTCAATTTCGACGCCATAACTCCAACTATCAAACCGCCATTCGCCGCCTTGACAATAACTCTTCCGCTATCGAAGACATTCTTGAGCACCAAAAACAATACCCAGAAATTAGCAATGAGTTATTTGTCTCCCGCCTCATGCTCTTGTACGGTACAGCAAAGATGTACGAACATGCCCGTAAACTGTTCGACGAAATGCCAAGCTTAAAATGTCAGCGAACTGTTTATGCTTTCAATGCCCTTTTAGAAGCCTGCGTAAGGGCCGAAAAGTACGATACTATGAGAGAGTTGTTTCGGGAATTACCTGAGGAGTTATCGATAGAGCCTGATGTAGTGTCCTATAATACTTTGATTAAAGCATTATGTAAAGTTGGTTCTTTGGATTCTGCTGTCAGTGTAATGGATGAGATGGAAAATCAGGGGATCAAACCGGATAAAGTGACTTTCAATACGCTTTTGACCGCTTATCATGAATGGAAAATGTTTTCTGAAGCAAATGATTTATGGGTATTAATGCAAAAGAAAAACGTTGTTGCTGACTTGTGGAGTTACAACATAAGATTACGAGGTTTAGTTGCGAATAACCAGGTTAAAGAGGCGATTGAGTTGTTTGAGGAGATGGGGAAGAAAGACATCATCCCGAATGCTTTGAGTTATAACACGATGATCAAAATGTTTGTGGACGATAGGAACTTGGAGGAGGCGAAAAGATGGTATGAGAAAATGGTGGAAAATGAACGTTATCCGGATAATGCAACATTTGGGATGCTCATTCATTTTGCTTGTGACAAGGATGATCTTGATTTTGCTCTTGACTTGTGTAAGAAAGCTATGAATTCAAAAGTTACTGTACATAATGCAACAATGCAGAGGGTAGTTGATGACTTGGCTGAGCATTCGAAGCTTGAAGATGCAAAGGAGCTGGTGAACTTGGCCAAATCATATAAGCGATTCCGGTATAAGCTTTTTGGATCACTTTTTTCGGGTTAATATGACCTTCTTTCCTATGCATTTCTTAGGGCTTCGGGTATGCCACATCGCGTTCCAGATTATCCAGATGCTTACGCTCGATGGAATGCCCTTAGCAGTTTTGGCTCTTATATATCCGTAGTTGGGATTTGTCGTTTCTTAGTGGTATTAACAATGCTTCAATAGTTTTGTGCTTTTATATATGTGTGTTTTTTGCCTGTACTATTGCTCTTGCTGGTCTTAGGATTTATTAATGCGTTTATGAACTGCCCTCATGATTTAAGAGTATAAGTTCTGAGGAATGCTTCAATTGAACGTATAAAGTTTTGCTTATAGCAATTGAGGTCCACTCTTATGTTAACTGCCAAAATATATCAAAACGAATTTACTGGTCTTAATTAACCATGCTATTTAAAAAATCTTATCCTGGGCTTGAGGTATATCAATGAAAGCTTCCAGATCAGCTGATAATGTTAGCACTCTTGGTAGTAGCATTATAACTAAAGGAAAGATAATTACTGTTAGCACCCTACCTATATTTGAGGCAAAAGATTTTAAGAAAACCCAGGCTCCCCGGTTTTGGTTCAGTAGCAAGAACACAACATATGATGTGTGTGTTTAGGCTCGCGTCACAAGTTCGAACTCTGCCATAGGCAAAAATAGCAAAGTGGAATGCTAATTATTTATCGAATTTCAGATCGTGCACCAGTTGACGATTTTCGATTGTGAAGAATAAAAGAAGATTGTAATACACCCAGTTCAATTGGACTGACTAAAAAACAATACACTCAGTACAATAGGTCAACCATTGTAGGTTGAAGGGTTAGCCATAAAACTTTCAGCAGTATAAACTCAAATCTCGCTGTAGGTCTAAGTCATTATTAACTTCAATGCAACAATAATAATACCTTTTAATCTGCTATGAAAGAAGATTTGAAATTCTGAGGATTTCCATCAATTCACACTTTCATCATCAACATATATGAGAAGTTTATTGACTTAATCCATTCAAATATTTAGCATTCAACTTTATTTTTAAACAATCACCAATAGGTTGCCGAAAATTATAGGCAAAAGGGAAACAGACAAAGTGGAAGGGGACTTGACTAATACCTCTACACATCAAATTAGAATGGATAAGGCCCTTAATCATCAGTGATAAAGACACCCTTCAGAAAGGGTGGCATGTGACACCGCTTGGCAAATTACATATGGGTGTGTCAGTACACTACTAGGGGTGATGGCATAATGGGTTGGGGAAGAACTATTTTACTAATGGGCTAAGATGGGCAATACCCAAGTTGACCCGCTACTAAGCCACCAGTCCAAGTTGACCCATGACATAGCCCAAACATGACCCGTGACTACAACATCCCATTTAACGACCAAATCCACAATTTCTGAAACTTTTTCATTGAAAATTGTAGGGGAAAAAACGTAAATAGCCAGCCCACTAGTATTCTAAACTTTGCCTAGCCCTATCTACACATAACCCTATAATAGTGTAGCCAAAACCAGAGAGTCCACAAAATGTCAGCCGAGAATTACGTTTGTTTCCAAACCCTTTACGAATACCTAGCGAGATCTTTGGTCTTAATCTCATAAGATGTACTCTTAAAATTGTATTATAAAAATATAAATTATACGAAATAAACAAAAAAATCACATACATCAAATACATAATCAGGGACTTTTAGACAAACTAAAACTACAAAATAATTATTGTATATATAATTATACACATAATGCATATGCCATTTGTATAACATAAAGACCTGGATTATATATCTCATATACAAATTATGTATACATAATTATACATATAATTCGATATTAATTATACAACACATATGTCATGTGTATAATATAAATGTCTAAATTATACATCTCATATACAAATCATATATACATAAAATAATTATTGTATATATTTATACATTAATTATACATCACATGCCAATTGTATAATATAAAATTCTGAATTATACATCTCATATACAAATCATATACTGGAATATGCATTGTATTTACAGAAACATGTACATCAAATATAAAATTTAATATCACATACCATTAAAATTCACCATAACAATGATGTGAGAGCTTAGAAAAAAATCGAGAGTGTAAGGACTTTGGATAAATCGTGAGGGGTGAGAGCGAGTTGAAGAAATGGAAGAGTAAGCATTTTGAGGAAATTTGAGTTCCTATTATTTAGGGTAACCGTTTGACCTTAAATAAATGCTAAAAATCAGGAAAAAATATATTTGACACAGCTGGCTATAAAAAATAAACAAAATCAACCCACTTTGCGAATTGGATAAAAAACAAAAAATGTGGCTTAATTTTTAGTTTATTGCTAATATGGGCTCTAGTTTTTTTTTGCTAATAGTACCACCTTTACTTTAAAAGTAATACTTGTTGACTTGTTGGATCTTGTCAATCTTTATTTTCTACCAAAAAAAAAAAAAAAATCTTTATTTTCTACTACGTGTCTAACAATAATTTATTTATAAATTTCTTTTAATTTTTGTTATGTTTATTTTGCAATTCATCTTTCTTTTTCTTTTTATCGATTTGCATTTCACCTTTTCTCTTTTGTCTTTTTTATTTTTTGGGGGAAAACAATAATTGTACGGTATTTTAACAAATTTTACATAATCGTAGCGATAGTTTTTAATTAACATTAGTGGCACCTATTTATTGAAGGAATTCCAATTGTACGTGATTTCTGTCTATTGAATGAATTCGATTGCACGTGAATCACGACATCACGTCTAGATTATATTTATATACATAGAATTTTTGAAAAGGATATTATACCAAGTATATATAATGTTATACCATAATATCATGCTTTAGTATCCGATTTTGTGGGGGCAATAGTGTTTAAGTATTAGTTCTATTAATTGTAATTTTTCATTTTTACGGCTACATATCCAATTTTGTGCTTAATTTATGTTTTAGTATTCATTTTGAAAATCATGTTCAATTATGTTTTAGTATTCATTTTGAAAATCATGTTTAAATTTGAAATTGCTCTAAAAGTAAATAACTTTGTTACCTTAAAAACAAACCAAATGTCATGTTGTTTATCTAAATATATTTTTGAATTTGACCTACCATCTAAAATTTATACATTCAAAAAGCTGAAGCAAAGTTTTGGACCAAAAAATGGCATAAAGAAATTAGGGTTATTATAAATTTAACAATTGATGACACTCCACTGATACAAAACAATACACAACACATGTAAAATATTGCATAATATACATAGGTATTACACTTGAAGATTTATTTGGAAAAAATTTGGTTAGAGAATATTTATGAGAAATATCTTAAAAAATAAGAAGAGAAAGTTGTGTCAAATTGGGCGGGTTGGGCTATGACCTATAGTTTAGCCCATCTTGACCCAACCCATCTTAACCCAAGTAAACTTTGGGTTCGATTGAACAATGACCCGTTTATTGAGTTAACCCATTTTGATCTGTCCAAATTCAACCCAAACCGCTCATTTGCCACCCTTACGTGTGAGTAATATTTTTCTAGAAAATAATATATACATATACAACAGGCCAACACCAGTTAAAAATTGACATAAATTATCAACACAGGAAGTAAAGTTTCAAAACTAATACTATAATTCTAGACTTGATAATCAGTGGAGGTAATCAGTTGATCCAAGGTTCAAGTTACAGTGGGGGTAAGTGAAGAACTAATGTTGATCCTTTAGGGGGTATGGTTGGTAAAAAGAAAAACAATATTAAAAGGAGGTATGGTTGGTAAAAAGAAAAACAATATTTTCAAATTGAAAACCATTATCTTTTTACCTGAGCTATTCCCGAGGTCATCTAGAAGGCGAAGAATTTGGCAACGGAAGATATCATGCCTTGTACATTAGCCAAGACATTTGAATATATTTAGTTGCTCCTCCATGTCCCAAGAGAAAGTAAAGGTTGATAAGCACCATATATAGGCACCCCTGAAGTTACTGTCCCATTCTTTAAGTACTCCTCTACTGCTGGCATATCTCCAGAATTAAAGCATTTAGCTTTTCTCAAGTGGTCAATTGGGTTCGACCCATGCTCTTTATACACCACAACCAATATGTTCTTGTAACGACCAGGTCGGTCGTTTCGAGAGTGTCACGATCCAAAAATCTCTCCGAAGGAGTCGTGATAACACCTAGTCTCTAAACTAGGTAAGCCTAACATTAACTGAGATAACATTTATATTTGCTAACTTTAATCTGAATAACTCTTAACAATTTACAATTCCCAAAACCGGTGATACAAGTCACAAGCCTTTCTAAGAGTAGTTATACAAAATAAATACATCACTGCTCCGAAACAAAAGGAACAAATGGGAATAAGTACAAATAAAGGTTACTCCGAGGTCTGCGAACTCTGTAGCAGGTTTACCTTGAGTCTCCACCGCAACGACCCGCACAACTACTATCGATCACATACCTAGATCTGTACACAAAAATGTACAGAAGTGTAGTATGAGCACACCACGGCGGTGCCCAGTAAGTATCAGGATTAACCTCGGTGGGGTAGTGACGAGGAACAGTCCAGACACCTACTGGTCAAATAAATTGAACAGGATTTGATAATAAACTATCAATCTAAAAATGACATAGTAATATCAACAGCAGGGAAAGAACAAACTACAATCAGTAGAAACAATAAAGAGAAACATGGGTGGAAACGAAGATAACCAGATAAATTAACACAAACATAGCTGGAACACAGACAAGTAAGGAAAAATGTACTCAAACAAGGAAGGCGATGCCAGCTCAATAAGTCATATCGTTTCTGATGCACAATTTCCAGCCATCTCAAACTCGATATCTCATATCATAACCTCAATTACCAAACTTTTAGCACACCCGGCACCTCGTGCCCACATATTTCTATCTCACTTTACACAACAACGTTCTCATGTTACTCGGTTCATAGGGTCTGTAACCAATACAATTAAGATATTTAAGGAGTCTGATTTTACATAACCTAAGTGGAGTACAACTTCTAAACCAATTAGGAACTCAGCAAGAAAAGATGAAGTTATTTTTAGAAATTATTTAAATAAAGAAAGTACCATTTTCAATTAAAGTACAACATCGAATGAAATATTACCTTTAACAAGAAATTTAATAAATTATCTTA